ATAACAACACGCACATATAGGTAAGCAACGGACTAAAACGGACTGAAACGCACGGGACACAAACCTGTGCTTGTCCAGTCGCTTGTGCTGGCGGCTGTACGTCGGCGGATGCTACTAAAGGTTTCCGTCTCGTCATGCGTTCCGTTAAGGGATCGGTGAGTGTGACCATATCGTTCTGTATCACCATACCACCTGTGTTATCCGGTACTAAACACAGCGTGCGCGCAAACATGCGCTTCACCGACCCATTCTTGGCCTCCTTGTGGGCTTCCTGCAGTGGCCCTACTATCTTGACCATAATGCTGTTGGGAGAGACTTGCCACAGATCCACCATCATCTCCTGTAGCGAGTGTACCGTTGGCGGCAGTTTGACCAGCATGGCTACAATCTGCGAAACACCCATGAATAGAGTGTCCTCGCGTTTCGCTGTGCAAGAGATTGTAGTTGACATACAAGCTTTAGACGATATATGCTTGGCATGTATGTGTTTAGCTCAGTTTGTCTCCCAAGTCACTCTAAAGCGTACCAGCACAACTACACCGGTGCATATGAGGGTTTAAGAACCAGCGAACCAAAGAATTGCTGACTCTGCACATGAGTCATATTATATTTTCGTTCGAAGCTAGCCCATAAAATGGTAGATGCAAAGAATCAGATATCGATATCTAAGCAACGGTCAGACCTCACTGTCCACTGATATATATATATACCTTTACTTTTGACGACCCTGAGATTCCTGTTCACTTGTTGGTATTCTTCGAACGAGGCCGAGAGTGTGTTGTGTTTTTCCCGTTCCAGGTTGCGCACGTCCTGTCGGTTGAACCCCTTGGACACCCTCGCCGTGGAGTGTTGGCGTGGACACGTGAAGCTCATCACAGCATTGGGTGAGTAGAAGGCACTCATCTGTAAGCGGATAGATACATCCGCCCCGTCGTATGCTCTGTAGTACTTCTCCAGGAACGCAAGCACGCTGGCCTTCATGGCATCGGGTAGACCCGAGTAGAAGAGCACTGTTGGCGGTACGTTGATCTCTTCCTCGACCCCGAATTTGGTGATCTGGGCGGGTTAATTGGATACAGGATGACGTTGTTAGCTGGTATCCAAGGGGTGAAAGGCTCCTTTGTATCCTCATAAGTGGTTATTGAAATCAAATTGATAATTTATGGCGCGAAGATCAGAACAACCACAAGTCTCTAGCATGGTGTCAGGTGCACGAAGTAGCGTGCCCCTACTTCTGTCTTGTGCGGCACTCGAGTATAGACTCACCAGACACTGATGCCGAACAAACACGCACTCACCTCCGTATCGTCCAGCATATCGAGCGACTTGAACATCTTTGTAATTGCATCCCGATAATCCATTTGTTTCGCAAGCGGATTGCCGGCGACGATGAGTTCCTTGAGATTCAGTCCTTCTAACACCCGCAGTTCACTGACGATCGTCAGCTGCAGTAGAAAGACACCAGAGAGAAGCATGTATTGGGCTTGGAACTTTATCTAAAAGATCAAGAACCGCCGGTGCAGGGTTTAGGGTTTAGGGTTCTTATACCCTAAAAAAGTCATTGACAGACATTCCAACAGGTTGAAAGGGCGTCTATGATGATGGGGGATGCCGAAACACATCAATGTTGTATAGCTTTAGTTGGCATGGTTCCACTCAGTTCACAGCCCCATGGTGCGGCACACAACAGTATATCGGTATTAAATTGACACCGGAGAGTCCAAAATATAGCAAGAGAGCGAGAACTCCCACAGCTTCACCGTTACCGACACCAGCTTCACCGCTGTGGAAAAACTACCAGCAAGGCTCACGAATACATCTCCGTGATAAAACCACGCAATATAAGCCAATGGGAAATTTGGAAAGTAAACTACATAACAACGCACCATGAGAGCAGCGGGTACGACGATGGAAATACATTACCCATTGTGCATGCGCAAGTGTGATCTACGTACGCCGAACGCGCGTAGGATAACTCGAAATCCGATACCAACAAAGTCCATACTACATATACTTTGTATCCTTAGCACAGCCTACCTCATTATCTTTTAAACTGATTCGCCTAAGATCGGGTGCTGCATCCACAATGCCGGTGATGGATTTCAATCGCACCAGCTTATTTTCACTCAGGTTGAGTATTTCAATCTGTACAGCAGCGGGTTGACCGATAGAATGCCGAGACATACGTTGTTGAATAAGTTGCGGTATAGAAATCAATATCAACATTTATGTTATTACTACATTCATGTTATGACTGGAGCATTCTCAAGCCGAGACGAAAGCGCTTCGAAAGTTCTGAAACTTCCCTGCACATGGCGCGTCACTCATGTAGCAGGCGTAGATTTCTGAACAAGTAGCCCTTCCTCTTATCTGAACGAACACACTAATCAACCACCAATCGCTCATAGACATAAAGATATGAACAAGCGTAGAGAGGAACGATGCTGCTTTATTTCTCTCATTCTCACGTCATACGCGATATGAAAACAGTACACCACATCGTATATAATAATGAGTCAATTGAAGACAAAACAAAAGAATCCTATACACGCAACAACTAGAGTTGATGGTGCACAAATCGACCTTTTCAAACTAGTGCTCGCACGCACAGTACATACCTCAGGGCATTCGCTCTTGATTAGGTCCACTAGTATAGCCCCAAACGTCCACAGATTCACCCTGGGGTGCACCTTCGAGAATTTGCTGACATCCAGGCTTTTCTGCACAGGATCGTAACCCTTCTCCAGGAAATTATACAAGATCTGCTTGGCCTCCTCATCTGTTATGCGGGGTGCCCTTGCGTTCTTGCCCACCTTCTTCGCACCCCGACCCTTGCCCCGTGCCGACGCACTGGTATTCAATCGCTGTTGGGAAAGGAACGTACGTCAATATATATATATATATATATATTTATATATACATATATATACATATATACATATATACATACTTACATACATACATACATGCATACACACATACACACACACACTCTCTCTCTCTCTCACTCGCTCACTCACACACTCACTCACACACACACACATATAAATATATATATGTATATATATATGTACACTTAGGTATGGATTGAAATCTACATGTATGTTTTTAAATATACTTGTAAGGTACAGCCAAGTACAGTCACCACAAGCTCCGAAGTATCAGGCCGCCTCGATTATATGCCAAACTTTATAGTGCAAAGAAGGGTTTATTGCGAGTGCTTCGCTAAAGAAAAAACTAACATGCTGCATCGCACTCAGTGTTAGACTGGAATGTCTATCTGTATAGTACAGACACGGAGATACGAAACCAAAAAAGGATAGCTTGCAGAGATCAGATCATACCCGCAGCCGCTATTCATTCGGCAGCTTGGTACAAATCAAGACCTGCCGTCTCATACAACTTAATAGACATGTAGATAAGAAACAAACACCTCACTGCAACGTGCAGCAGTGATTGACTCACCTGGGGCGACCTCCCGCTTCTGTTTCCGCTGGACATGGCGACATCTCCGTCTAATGCTTTGTGTAGAGACGCTTTATCCAGCCTCACCTTACTTTTATATGTTGGCCCCCCACCTGCAGCGCGTGAATTATATATACATATATACAAGATAATCATTGACCGTGGTACACAATAGCGAAAGTTAGACTAAACCCTAAACTCCAAACCCTAACCCAAGTTAGCCCGTACTATGTTTGTGTGCTGAGTGGCCCGCCAATCGCGAGTGTAGGTGAGACAGGAGTAGGTAAGACAGGAAATCAACGAGCATGACGTTCGACCACTCTATTTTTATTTTTATACTGTTGCTACGTGACAAGCAGTTGAACCCTTCGAAATAGCAAGATACAGGTTCACAATTCAGATGGCCGACACCGCTGTAGAATAAACAGCTGCGAAGGCGCATCCCCCATACAGAGATCGACAGAACTTCAGGTGGCGTTAATGATATACGAGAGATGCATGTAGTACAATACGGGTGGATAAGTGCTACATACTGCACACATAAACTAAACGACGACGCGTATACATACTAATTTTATCAACAGGTAGCTTGCAGGTCCCCTACATACCTCCTCTTTTGCCCAAACCACCGCCACGTTTCGGACCCGTACTGCTACTGCTACGTGTACTGTATCCTTTGTCACCATGTCCCCTGTCTGTGTCTGTGGGAAGATCGATGGTATATGCAATTAAGAAGCGTATAAAAAAACTGAATCGCTGCTCAACAGTCAAAATTAATATATGTTGAATCAACGACGAGAGTGCCTGGAGATGAAATATACTGATGTGCCACGTCGATATATAACAGCCACCAAGGATAACCTCCCAAGTGCAAAGTAGGATGACAAGAGTGAGAAATCATAGGTAAACCAACGACATCAAACCACAGTTGCTGCATACATTGTAAGCACCTTGACAAATATCGCTGTCACAAAACGTCCGAAAGTACTTAAACCAACACAACTCGCAAATTTACGACCGTATAGATAGCAGTGATCAAAAGATGAGATTTATATTCCGTGCGCGGAGATATGTTTTGATGTATAGAGTGTGAACCGTTATACCTTGCGGGTAGGCACGTCGAGACAGACAAACAATACCAGACGTACGACTACAGGTTGTTTGCTGCCAGCAATCGGCTAGACATCTGCGAACTTCCCCAGCGCCGACCAAAGAACGTAAGGATACTACACCAACACTCGCGATATCATATATATATGTTGCACTCCACTAACGCTTGTCGCAAAATTTAAGTGTATTCTACAACTACTTACGATTCCCTCTGCCACCCCCTCCCATCCGTGACCTGAGATCTGAACCTGAGAAAAAAAGAATGGAGATCAAGCGAGAGTTAATATGCAGTACAAGTTAGTCAAATAGATGAAACGACGGAACATAGGCGTTTCTGTGGTTGCAAATAGAGCTGGCCGGATATTCAGTTTCTTCATAGAACATGGCAGGGAAGAATATATATTCATATAATAATGTATTAGATTCACATAAAAAGCGTGTTTTAAATACAAAGAGCGATCTGTGCTCATCTGCACAATATGCGTATGCGCCGTGAAGTCCAATCAGAGGATATATGTCCAATAAACACCCTGTTCCGCAGTGGATACGACTAGGTTAAAACAACACAAAATATAACACGAAATCCGAGACGAGTTCGCAAACCAATCAATATATAGAGAAACGCAAAACATACTCATAAGCGAGTATTTATTGACAAATACATTTATAAACAATCTAGAACAGAGAAATACCCCTATTTTTTATAAAAACTTACGAAAAATAACATCTCCCATCAAATACATATATACATAAATATATA